GCAATGGAGGAGGGGCGTACCAAAGAGACCATCTAATCACAAGCAGAACTGGTTTGTTCCACTTTGGAGTAAGCTGTTGGGGGAAGAATCAGTTTTGTTGTGTGTTTCCTTGACTGATGAAGCCTTCCGGATTGAAGGCGAAACGTTTCAGCACACAAAAAAAAAAGAAACTGTCCAGATGACTTGACTGAAAAATGTTGGATTTTATACCTGGATTATTGAGCATGGACTTTATCCATCCACTATCTTTTCCCGCTTCTTCCTTTTTGGGTCACGGGGGTCACTGGTGCCCATGTACAGCTGTCACTGTGCGAGAGGCGGGGGACACCCAGGACAGGACTCCAGTCCATCATAGGGACACATGTCATCCATCTAGTATTTTATTTTATCAATTGAAATTACTGAAGTTTTATGATTTGGTTAACTATAATATCCTTTTAGTACTGTATAAAGCTCAGAACTACACACTACCTTCAAACATTCAAACATATTTTGTAAAAAGGAAAAGTTGCTATAATCTTAAGGGAACAGACATTTTTGTTAAAACACAGTACAGAACCAGTTTAAAGGGGCGGTCTACTTCAATTCAGGGAATAGGTCTGTGGAATAGTTTGGAAAACGATGTAAAAAAAGCAAAGTCATTGCCTGTATTTAAGAAAATGATTAAGATTAAAATTTTGGAAAGATACATATAAATACGTAAAATTGTGATGAGTTATTTATTTTGTTATATTACTTATAGATGATTATTGTTTGAATTGATTGTTTGAATTGATTTTGTTTTAAACAAGGGGCAGATATGATAAGATTTTTTCTTCTTCTGCTACCTTTCATTTTATGACGTGCTTTTTTTTTCATTTGGTTTCTAAATTGTTTTTGTGTTTTAAATATGAAATGAATAAAAATGACAAACAAACATGGAGACAAACGAAACAAACAACCATTCACTCTCTCACTCACACCTAGGGACAATTTAGAATTACCAATCAGCCTAGCATGCACAGAGAGAGCATGCAGACTCCACCCAGAAAGGCCCCCGGACCAGGATTTGAACCAGCGACCTTCTCGCCGAGAGGCAACAGCTCTACCAACTGCACCACTTTAAGAAAAACTAAACCACTTCAACTCAGTTCAGTTTATTTATATAGCGCCAAGTCACACAGAAGTCATCTCAGGGCACTGAACAGAAACCAAAATGCAGAAGCAATGAAACATTTTCCCTGCCTGCAAGCTTCCATAGTAATTAACAGGATAATTATCAATCAGATATTGCTAATCAAATACACCTAATTAATAAAGACTCGCAAAACGGATGTAGCTTTCAGAAACAAATGTCAGCAAATTTCAACAAACTGATGTCACGATGAAAAAAGTGAGTCAAAAATCCACCACACCAATCTGAGACATTAATAAAGTTATACAGAAGTAGATTACTTTCACTTATTGCTGCTAAAAGATGTTCTACAACTTTCTGAATTCGATCTACTTAGTTATTTTTAGTCATGTGTGCAAATGTGCTTAAGTTTTGTTAAACAAATAAATATAAAATGCGCAATGCTATGTGCTATACATTTGAGGTTGTATATACGGTACTCAAATATATATTAATAAGTATATATATACTCAAAAGATAGACATTTAAAAGCTAATTTCAAAGGTTGATCTGTAAAACTAGTTAAAAATGTGTACATTTTTTACATGGCTGTATTTGTATGTTTAAATAACGTAGCATGGTCGTTTGCTCGCTGTAATGGTAGAACATTAGGATTATTCCTTTTTTACTAATTCTATCCAAATAATTTTGCCTTAAAAATATATATATATATCAACCTTGTTTCTGGTAAAGTATTTTGAGCAAGAAGCAAAGCATCACCTCATCATCTCTGACGCACTGAATGGAGAAATGGTTGCAGTGGTCCCAGAGAGCACACCGAAGCATGCTGATGCGATTTTCCTCCATCTGCTGCAGCACCTGGAAAGCATTAAAAAAGTTTCTTTCATTAAAAAGACTGAGTTGATAAATTAATTTGAGCTTCTGTATTTGCGCACACTGACAATGTGTGATCAGTAATTTAAGGTCCACAGTGCAGTGTAAAAACATTTAATAGAACCATTGAGTAATGCTTTATTATGTGTTCCCATTATTAACACTCTGCAGCATATAGTCAGTTTCAGTCCTCACTGGTCTGCAGTTGTTCCGTTTGGGCCTGTGGTTTGAGGTTTAATCTGTGGGATTGAAAGCATTTATACTGAATTAAAACAAGCTCGCTGACAGGAATTCAGTGTCTGTTGTACCTCACACGTGCTTTTGTGGGTCTTCTCCCAGTCTTGGCGAATATTTTCTAGTTGATCAATGTTGCTCAAATACAGCTTCTCTGTGCAAAATCAGAGTACTACTGTCAACAATTGGTAAAAGTAAACCAATTAACAATTATTAATTAATAATTAATAACCGGTAATAGACCTGTTTTCAGTGCTTTCTTTTAGACTTACTGTGCAAAAATAAAGTGTAGAGCTTCCGTAACGTACAGAGATATATGAAAGACTGGAGTAAATCCTCAATTAAATATATTTCCTTTTAATACTTTTAAGACTTGACTTTCTTATACTTTTTAAAAGTGCTCAAATGCAATTGTTCTCAAGCCTTTTTTAAGCTATTTCAAACATTTTCTTTGAACACTGGCTGCTTTTTTTTTTCAATTCTTGTATCTGACGATTCAATAGGAATGTTACTTACCACTAATGAATTGTTGAAGCATTAAAAAGGAACCTAAGACATATATGCACGTACAGGTAGGTCTGTCGCAATAAATCAAGTAATCGCAAGATAAATTAAAATTATCGACCTCATTTTCATTTATCGACTTTATAGTTTCTTCATCTCTCTCTTTCTACTGAAGACACTGGATGACAAAAGGCTCAGCTCCGGTGCTCTTCACTGACCCCTCCCTTTTTCTCTTTTCTTTAAAATCTCTTTTAACTGTCCAAAATCACATTTTTGGATCACTAAAAGCAGCTAAGCTGAGAAGCTAAGCTACGAGCTAAGCTAACAGGCCGACGTCGGGGAAAAAACCTCCGTCTTGTCAAAGCTCCAAAATTCACAGTTGAAACCCGTGCCTTTGTGTAAAAAGTTGTTGTTCTCGCAAAAAGAAGCTGAGAACTTGTTTACTGATATTTTATTAAAAGCTTTGTGTGAAAAATGCTATGATAAAGAGCTCAAACTGCACACTGAGTTTCAGCCGTTTTGAGAACCAAATAGAGACAGCCCATGTCACCTCAAGGGGCCTCCCTCCCATTTTTCTTAAAGAGACACGCTGCTCACTCCCTCACTATCCATCCTTTGGTTCAAACAGTCTTATACTGCCATCCAGTGGTTAAAAAAAGGTACTACACACAAAACAAATTAACAAACATTCTTCTTAAATTTGACAATGACTACTAATTATTGTCAAGTTTCAAACAATATTATCATTTATCACAATAATTTCTGAGACAATTAATTGCCCAGCAAAATTTGTTATCGTGACAGGCCTACTTACAGGACAACTGAATAAAGAACCTATTTTAATTAGCCTCTTTAGACAGGTTTTTACCAGCAGCATCTTGCATGGTAACTTTTTTTGCTTGTTTCATTAAATCAACAAAACTACCATAACTCAGTTGGACAGGTATAAATCTGAATCTATGTACCAACAGGTGGCTCTAAATAAAAACAATGAAGTAGTAACCAATGATCAACTGAGGGCTGATGCATCTCTCAGTTCCTGTGTCACCTCTTTGATGATTTTTTTTGGAGCATGGCTGTCACATGCTAATGATCTGCTACTTCTTTGTCTTCTACTCATTCAACTTTCTTTCTTTCTAAAGTGACTTTCAAAATCTGGAGGAAGGGGTTTTAGCCAGTTGAACTAGACAGAAATGAGAATTAAAGCAAATAATGCCCAAAGGGAAAAAAATAGGCAATGCAAAAAAAATGAAAATGATAGGATAATTAAATTATCCATTGTTTTTGGTCCTTCGAGCCAGATTCGAACCAGAGACCTAAGGACTGTAGATCTTTAGGTCGCTGGTTTGAATCTATCTATGTTGGATAATTTAATTATCCTATCATCAGCTCATTAAATTAATAAGCCACACAGGAAAGGAGAATATCTTTTTTTGCCCAGATTTAATCTTGCAAGAAGAGCAGTGTTGAAATACAAGCATCGAAATGTTACATGGTGCTTTGTCTCTAAGGTCTGCTCAAAGAGATCATAAAGAAGTGTCTTTTTATAATGGTTTTTAGACAGAGACAAGGTCAAGACAACCCTGCTTCACAGCTTAGGGCCTTAAAGTTTATCAGGTGCGCAGGCTCCACTTCGCCAAGACAAAACAACTCTAACGCACACACATTATTTATATAACATTTGACATTTGTAAGTGAAAAACATCCATGACCTTTACATCCCCATCAGAAAACTTCCAGAAATACCAAAATTACAAGACAGTTTCAGACTCCTTGAAAGCTGAGTACAACATTTTGCCTGTGCTTTGTATGCAAGTGTGGCAAATATACTATAAATGTTTGTGATCGTAAAACAGAAAAGACTAAGCATGAAGTGAGCTTTTTGGTGCATACCTGCTTCACTGGCTGCATGTCTGCAATTTTTGATCCTGTGACGAATCTGTAAACCAAGGAAACAATATAAGTTTGCTCTGTGACAGAGGCTTTTAACACGAGCCTTAAATGCACTTTAGAGGAGATAGGAGAGGGCAACACCTGCAAATATTTCAGTTTTGCATTGCAAGCTTTCTCATAACAGCATAAACTATCACAACTAAAATGCTTCGATGGTTCAACTTTCAGCTGAAGATATAACAGAACCAAGCTCACGTTGATCCACAATGTAAATAGTAATGGAATGGACTGTATTTATACAGCGCCTTTCTATTTTATCAAGACACTCAATTCATACAGCACTCTACTAGATCTGTACAAAGTTAATTGATCAAATCATTCTAAAGAGACTAATCAGTGCTTTACATCACATTCATACACTGATCGGACACACATTGGAGGCAATGAGGGGTTCAATGTCTTGCCCAGGGACACTTTGGCATGTGACTGGTGGTGGATTCGAACCCCCAACTCTTGCATTGGAGGATGACTGCTCTAACCACTCAGCCACAGCCGCCCTGTGGTACATCAGTCACGCAAAGGACAAACTTTGAAACTTTTCTTTTGATTGATTAAAAGATAAAAGCGGTTGTGCCACCGAGTTGTTCTGTGTATCCCGTGCTGAGCTGCTGCCTGTTTGTGGTAGAGCACAAGTGAAACATGTGTGAACGCCTTCAAACCTTGAAACTAAAACTAAAAATGGGATCATTCAGTTTCGGTGAGCAGACCTTTTCAGAGTTCTTTGAGTGGACGCTGGTTTTCTCTGCCCCCTGCTCTGCCTCGTCAGCCTCCTTGCATCTCATCTCGTAGTTTTTCTTCGCCTGACAGAAAGAGAAACAGAAAGTTCAGGCCACACGTTGCAGAGAAAACCAGAGTTGAAACTCACAGCCATCTGCACAAATATGATTTTGTTATTGATCTAAGAAACATTTCTGAAAGGTGAAAACCTTTAACCTTTAGTCTTAAAGCCTTTGATGCTCAAGCGAGACGTGACCTCACAGACGTGTTCACACGGAAACGAGTTCAACTAAACTGCGTCCTCCCAGTGTCTTACCTCCATAGTTCTCTTAAAACAAGAAACTTTTTTCTTTTGAACCTTCTCCATGATGCTTTCAAACTAGAAACAGGGATAGAGAATTATCATTATTTTATCTGTAAGTGTAAAAACAACATGAACTCTGAAGCTCTGGTCTGAGTTTGATAATGACACATTAAACTTTCTCTAATGACTGAAACACTACTTGCGTCATGTGTATTAAGAAGGAATAAGTTCAACACCTTAACAACAAATAAGTGCTAAACTGGTAAATATTGTTTCAACCACTCTTCCAAACATCTGGCTGCTAAGCACCATAAATCACCCAGTACCTTCTTCCTCTGCTCTTTCTGACGCTCTCTGAATGTCTCAATCTTTTTCACCTCCTCTTTCAATATATCTGATATTTGGATGTGAAAGTTTCCAATGTTCTCAATTTCTGCAATCAGAAACATCACAAAACGCATCATTCGACATGTCGTAGAAACAAGGAAAGATTTTACATCGTAAGAGACTGAGAAGATGGACTCACGAGCTTTCAGTTGTTCAAAGGAGGCTTTCAAAGTGCTGGAAAAACAACAGTGGAAACAATTAAACGTGTGCGTTTTAATTGTGCTACACTGGATAGATGGGGTACTCCACTTGTGCGATTTGTATAAGAACAACAGAATGATGCCAGCTTTTTGTTAGTTTGGAATAAACTGTGCCAAAGATCTTCCTTGATGTTGGCGTTCTTGCTTCTTTTGCTGCTGCTGTTCAACACGAACAGGAAACGGACGATAAAGGTTCAGACAGAGAGTTCACACACACACATTCACCACGTTTTCTCTTCTGATACCTTCTTCTAAAACAGAATATGAGTCAAAGTGGTTGCCTTGGTTTCTATTTTAGCTTACTGGCTAGTTTAAATCAGCACTGATGGTGTGTAAAACTCAAACAAACGGCATATATTGGCTCTGCATGTGCAGCTATCATGCTTCTTTTTTTTTTTTTTACCCAATCTCCGTGTGCCCTCCAGGTTTGTGAGCAATGGTCAGCAGCTCCTTTCCATACTTCTCCTCTGCTTGGGCTCTGCACAGAAATAATAAATGAACACATCTCTATGAATCACATGATTTATGTTTAGATATTTATTGAACTGCACGGTCGTTACAAATGAGATGTAATACTTTGTTGTACCTCATGCATGCCTTTGTTTCTGCTGAGGCGGCAGAAATTTAGCTCTGGGGTTTAGTTAAATCTAATCATAAACTTCAGATTTATTTATTTAAGAGCTGTTTATTTATTCCTCATAGAGAGAATATCTGAAAATACAGATGCTGATTCTCACACAAAGTATGGCTTTAATTATTTGTTGGATGCAATGCTTCTTGTTCGAAAAGTAATTTGGATTTCTATGAAAATACAAGCTTCATTTCCTAAATGATGCAGTTTTAACATTTTCTGTGATATTCCCTGAAAAACAAGCCGTCATGCAGCAGATGATGTTAAGTCACAAGCTGTTTCATTATTGTTTAATGGTAACAAATATGCAAAAAGTCTTATAAATGAAATTTGATAATTTCACAAAGTTTGAGTGTTTCTCGGACCATTTTGGTTGAAGTCACTAAAATACAACCTCATTCTTAAAAGCTCCTCCACATCTTTGCACATTTGCTTGCCGTCACATAACCTCTGGATCACAGCGCTGTATCCAGCGTGACAGGTGAAGTCCGACCCCTGCATTGAGAAGACATTAAAAGTAAAACTAAAAACGCAGGGAGAGATGCTGCAAAAGTCTGCAAAGATATTACAAAACGTCCTTTAGCTGATCTTGAAGTTGCAGTGTGGTTTAAAAAAAAAAAAAGCAGAACTAACAGTTGTGCTCGGCAAAAAATAATAGACGGAGGTGACAAGACAGCGTAGTCATTCATGCTGTTTTTAGATCAGGACATTTAAGGTCATTAAAAGCACCCTGTTAGCTGCTGCTTTACATGTTTCTTTTTTTATTTTGCAAGCTTAAAAGTGGCCATTCATGACATTTGACTTCTCAGAATATCTCAGATATTGGAGTAATTGAATTCACTTGTAGTTTATTTACTCTTACTGTGCAGCTTTAACATTTACAACTCGAGATAAACACCTGTAAACATATAGCTCAGCCCTGGGAGCTTCTGCAAGGCTCAAGAAAACAGAACAAACTTACCCAGAAGGCGTCTTTAAACAGCAGAGGAGCCATCTTAGATGCTACTTCCTCAGTTTGGCCTTTGCCTACAGGATTTGTTTTAAAGCTTAAAATGTTTAACAAAAATTAAAGTAAGAAGCTGAAGGCTGTGCGACACTCGATCAGATAAACTGTTCAAAACCAGCCTGAATGTGAGTGAATCATTCTGAATGCTCTGAATGAGGAAGAGCTTCTGTCCCATGATGTCACTGACCACAGATCAGTGGCTCAGCCCCTAACCATGTCCTCGTGGGTTGAGTTACACAGTATTCAGGGGTCTATGTATTAATGTTATCAGCAAACATCTCTGAGTAAACAGGCTACATCTGAGTGTTGCAGCGGCATCATTAGCAGTCAAAAGCTGGGGTTTACTGGCTTGTTTCACTCACAAGAAAACAGTTGTGTGAAATGCAGTGGTTGATGATCTAAAACCCAAATTATACAGTTTTTGTCATATTCTTACTGAATAAAAGCAATACTTCACCAACAGCTTTAATTCAATTCAATTCAGTTTATTTCTATAGCGCCAGGTCACAACAGAAGTCGTCTCAGGGCAGTGAACACAAACATTCACATTCATTTAAAAAAAAAGATAATTAGTAAAAGTTATCTAAGGAAGCCAGCAGGCACAGTCTCCCAGCCTGAGCAAGCATAAAGGTAACAGTGGAAAGAAAAAACTCCCTTTTAACAAGAAGAAACCTCCAGCAGAAAAAGCGGCCATCTGCTTCAACCAGCAGGGGTTTGAGGGGACAGGACGGAGACTTGAGCACAGAATGACAGGTCCAGGTGTAGTTTCTATAGGAAGAAAGACAAAAAATACATGTTAAGGATAGAAATACTTACAAATACTAACAGGTAGATTAGAGCAAGTTAAGACAGCAGCAGAGTGAAGAAATGTAGTCAATTTGTCCTCCAGCAGTCTAAGCCTATAGCAGCGTAACTGAGGGATATCTCAGGAAACCCAACCCCAACTATAGGATTGATCAAAAAGGAAAGACTTAAGCCTTATCTTAAAACTGGATAATGTGTCAGCCTCACAGACAGAAACTGGAAGTTGGTTCCACAAGAGAGGAGCCTGATAACTGAAATCTCTGCCTCCAATTCTACTTTTGGAAACTCTAGGAACCACAGGTAAACCTGCAGTCTGAAAGCGATGTGCTCTGTTAGCAAAATTTGAAACGATAAGATCTGTAATATAAGATGGAGCTAAGTTGTTGAGGGCTTTGTAGGTCAGAAGTAAGATTTTGAATTATATTCTGAATTTGACAGGGAGCCAATGGAGAGAAACTAAAACTGGAGAGATATGAGCTCTCCTACTAATTCTCGTTAAATTAATTTCCCTTCTTTTCTTTATCGCTATAATACGCAATATGTTGTGAAAGTGTTTGAGTATTTCAGTGTTGCTTCTGTTTAACAATCATTTATCTAATTGGATTTTTAAATATGAGTCACAAAAGACAAACGACCCCACTCCAAATAATGCATATTTTCTCTTTTTGTTGCATACTTTAAAACTTGCGTCACATTCTTTGTACTGCAGTAGCCAATGATGACCACTAGAGGGAAGCATAATTCTTTGCAAAACATCAACCCACCTCAATAATTCTGTCATTGAAACATCCAGCCCACCTTTTCACCAGAAATTCAATAATTCTGAACCCTCCATGGAGGGGCTAGACATAACAAGCCCAAATCTCAGCAGAATACTAACCTGTGCCTCAGGCATTACTCAGAGAAAACACAGAGACACGTGAACGAGCACATAGATGCCTATTATTGATTTCCAAAGTGAGGAGGACAGACTGTGGTGTCTCTCACCAGCCGCTCAATGAGCTGTGAAAATGTTTGGCCCTCTCACAGAGCCGGGATCATTCTGTCGCACACCTAAAAACATGATGAAGGCCCAGCGCTGATCAATACGTCCAACTGAGAATAATGGCACTCAGTAAACTTGAATCTTTTTTTGTCATTTTTGGATTATTTTTAAACGTTTCTTGATTATGTAAGCCACATCTTGCAATGGCTTTATAACTGTTTTATTGATTTATAAACCAAATGGACACATTTTATTTTGGGTTTTTTTGTTAGTGCCTTTTAAAAACGTTTATTTAAAGTAGGGTATGATTGTTTATTTATTTATGAATCAAAAATCTTTTCAGCAATTTGTGACATGGTTTTATTATTAGAAACACGTGAGATTTTTATTTTTGGTAACTTTTTGTTAATCACTAAATCAATAAATGGCCTACAGTCTCTAGTTCTGTTCAGTTTTGATCAAACAAATAATAAATTATCAATTATATAACAAGAAAACTGACATATTTCCAACATTTTTTTTATTGACAGCGTGGTAAACTGCTGTAGTTGTATTTTTTAAGTGTGGTTTTGTGGAGTTATTACAGCAGTTAATATCTTACCTGCAGTATTCAGAATGATTTTGAATTTCCATCAAACTAACAGCTAGTCAGAGCAGGGCCTGTCCCAGAACCAATATACCAAACTGTTTATTGCAGATAAATTGAACATTATTTGATTAACTTTCACACCCTTACTGCTTTTGCATCAAATAATCATTTACAGAGATGTTTATAGGTTTTTATGATTTAACAATACTTTCCACTAAAGACTAGTTGTGTTGAACAGTCCAGCCTGTTGAAATGTGTTATATGTGAAACACGTGTTGCCAAACAAAACAAGTTAAGTGTACATTGATGCAAAAGTGTAAATGAAAATGATAACTCAAGAAACACTATTATGTTTATTTTTATAGCCCTTAATGTATTATTTTTGCATCAAATAGTTGCTTTGACTGGATATACAAAACAAATTTATTTAGAATTTCTACCATTCTGTGACCAATGCTGCCAACCTTCAGAGTAAATATCTTTGTGATGCAAAAGTGGTGTGGGTTCATTTAATGTTTTTAAAGATTGATTTAAGTGTAATTAAATTAATGTGTAATCTGCTCTGAGAAGGGTTAGGGTTAGGGTTAGGCCTCAGTTTGACTAACCACTCCACCACTAACACCTCCAAGTGTACTTCTCATTGTCTCTACAAACTGAATATTTTAATGCTGCCAACTGCAGGTAAGATACTGACTGCTTACAACTTCACAATCCACCTCCAAACCATCCAAACTGTCATCCATTATCTTTACCCACTTCTTCTTCCTTTTTGGGTTGCTGGGGTCATTGGTGCCACAGAGTGAGAGATGGGGGACACCTTGGACAGGTCTCCAGTCCATCACAGGGACACATAGAGACAAACAAGACAAACAACCATTCACTCTCTCAATCACACCAAGGTACAATTTAGAGTTACCGGTCAGCCCAACATGCATGTTTTTGTCTGTGGGAGGAAACCGGAGTATCCAAAGTAAACCCACGCATGCACGGAGAGAACATGCAAACTCCACCCAGAAAGGCCCCCGGCTGGGATTTGAACCAGGGCGATCTGCTCGCTGAGAGGCAACAACTCTACCAACTGCGCCACCGTGCTGCCGTCCAAACTGTCATACTGTTTATTTTTTAAGGCAACATCTAGTTTTCTTTATTTGCGTAAAATGTATCTGATTCTTTTAAAATTTTCAGTTTGATCTGAAACCATCCACTAAAGTGAGCCATTTCTCCTGGAGTGGTGATCTTTGGGTTCAGAGCGAGAGGAACAATTCCCTCTTGGAAAGCCAAACATCTACCACTTAGAGCAAATAAACTCCTTCCAGGCCGGGGCTTACACGTTTTCACATCCAGAGTCCATCCAGGGTGCTTGGCCCTCGCTGTGACCCTGTTGGAGGCCTCGAATGGAAGAACAAGCTCTGGGAATCAGCTGTGCGACACACACTTCCTACCCTTCTCTCACTCTTTTTTTGTGTGTGTGTCTCTTCCTCACACTCCCCGGAGTGGCACTTATTGAACTGTGACAAACGAGCCGTGTCAGACCAGCCCCCCTACCTGGGGGATTGGCTAAATGACCTTTCCATTACCCGACCACTGCTGTATTCCCCCTCCACAGATAGAGTTACCCTCACAGACACCCAGCCCTGTGGCTGAGCCCAGCATCGCATCAGCTACATCCAACCCTCCAAGCTTTGAGATGCAAACAACTTTACAGTTAATTAGATTTTTTTATTTACTTGATATTTTAAGATGAAACTTAACAGCTGGAATATTGGCAGAACTGAAGTGGTGTGTCCGTATTGCACCCATTGTGGACGTGCGGACCAGCTTGCAGGCGACTGGTTGTTTGGGTTTCTGCACGTGTGTGACGTATCTGTACATTTCTTTTCGCGTGCGAGTCTCCAACCAGAGCGACTTCACTGGTTTTCACACATTTCCCATCCTTCATTCCTGCTAATCCCCTGTTGACCAAAGGCACCAGCCCCAAATCTCACCAGATACTCCAGGGAACAAATCTGAGGAGATGAAGAGGTGAGGGTGAGAGGACTGGAGTGAAAAGATTAAAAAGAGAGAGAAAGATGGCACAGAGAGGGCACCTGTGATGCAAGAAAAGGGGCGTGGTAAAGTTGAGAAGAAGCCGACGGGGCTGAAAGGACTGAAAGAAGTGAAAGAAAAGAACACAAGGTTCTAAATTGAGCAGGACAAAACACAAAGTTTGGTCGATTCTGCTGCTCAGGAATGTAAAGAAACGAGTCCTTGGCTGCATTAGTGGAAACCTTTTAGGAAGCTGACAGACGGAGAGCTAATGATGTGAAGGCACAAGAGCGGGGCCTGTAGTTGTTACTGAGTGAATCTGTACAACTTGTCATAATACAGCTGAAAACCAACAGCTTAAGGAGGTAAAAGAGAAGGAGGAGTAGGTAAAGAGCATCACATAGCGGGAGCCTTCTCACGTTCGATCAAAGTTTTGCTTTGAATGCAACATTTATTAGCTGCTTTAATCCTCAATACGTCTCAGAGCTCCAGCTTTAATCAATTTGATCCTCGTGTGTCTGCTATTCCCTGATGTGCGTCTCCAAACTGTGGGATAAAGGCAGCGAGGGAACATATGTGCTCGCA